GCTAGCGAAACTACGACCAATAGATAGAATTAGCCCTCGGAAATAATAGTAATTAGCCCCTCGAGACGAATATTACTAGGTCTTTTAGAGTAGACGTGAAGAACTCGGATAATATTACTTAGAACGGAGGCAGTACTATAATACCTCGTATGCCTACCTATTATAGTAGGGAAGATACGCTCGTATTATAATTAGTTATTAGCCCTTAATTCTTATAGATATATATTACCTTATTATATACAAGGATAGCGTAGTTAAAGCACTATATTACTATTAGAAGGTAAGGTTTAATATAGTTATATAATTAGGTAGTTAAGTGTTTAATTTAGCGCGGACTAAGTAGCTTATTAGGTTTACTAAGTTAGTAGCAATAGAGGTCGAGATTGGAATATAGAAAGGCTACGAGGGCGCGGCCTTTAGAAGGGAAGCGTATATTAGGGCTAAAGAGGCTATACGTAATTAGCATATAACTAGGCCGAGTAAAGCTAGGGTCTCGATACCTTAGGTAGGGCTTAGCGCTTAGCGTTAGGCTAACTTGCCTACCTTCCTCCCTCTCCTTCTAGATCCTTATCGAATACTATTGTACCTACTACTACCCTATCCACCCCCTAATATAAACCCTATTATAATAGTCCCTCGGATATACTAGTATATAGTTGCCCCTTTTCCGAATATACTCGTCGAAAGCCTTTATCTTCTTTAGATAAATATTGAGCTTAGTATTCTTCGTAATTATTCTATATTCTATAGCCTTATATCCCTTCCCGATCTCCTAGCGTTGTTCTAGTAGCCGCTCTATTACCTTATACTAAGTGTCTATCTCGGCTCGCTATTCCTTAAGCTACTCTATCGCCTTCGACGTCTTCCTTAGATCCTTATAAAGCCTCTTCGTAATAGGCTCTTTAATTAGTAATAGTCTACGCTCGATAGTAGGCTCGGTCTTAATAACAGGCTTGGTTATTAGCGGCGGCAATATTAGCGGCGGGAATATTAGCAGTAGTAATATTAGCGACGATATTAGCTTAGATTTAGACTCTAAGTCTAATAACTAATTACGAGTTAGCACTACTACTAGAATAACTAGTATTATTACCTATCTACCTCAATTACTTCTACGCGCTTTATACCTATTATTATATAAAGAAAGAGCCTAAAATACTATAAAATTGAAAATCTATATAGGATCTATATACGCCGACGTATAGCCTACCTAAATATAAATATACCTACTATTTAGTCTACCTATATTCAAGATCATATTCAATTAAATATAAATATATATTCAAACTAAATATTCACAATTCAATATCTATAGGGATGTTGCAGAAGGCGTTTAGAGTCCTACCGGGGGTATCTACAGTAGCAGTTCGGACATGTCTAAATTCCTCAGATACATCCTAACAAATTACAACGGTATCGCAACTGGCCTCAACTGGCTCCTCCCTGCGAGCTGGGCAACAGGGTTGAACACTTTCTGCGGCATGCCTTTCGAGATCTTCAGAACAGACAGGATTCTTGAGCAATCTCAACGACCAGTAACTTTTGTAACCAAATCTGGTGGACTTCCTGGATACTATTCCCAGATGATGATACTAGAGGACTAGGGGATTGGTATTACATTCTTGGTCGCGGGAGAAGTGTCACTGCTCAATGAATTGGTCAATATCATTACAGTGGAACTTGTCAGAGCTATGGAAGTTGCAATATGGGAAAGTGTGCGTCAGAGCTACAGTGGGAGCTACGTCTCCACCAACCCCAGCCTCAATTCATCCCTCTTGCTGAATGTTTCGGTTTCCAAGGGGTTACACTTGACCGGCTTCATCTCCAACGGCACTGATGTCTTCAACTCCGTCTTACCGACCTGGGGTATTGAGACACTGGATGAAGAGCGGTCCTGGTATGCTCAGCTCGTACCCACACTACTTTACAAAAACGAACCAGAACGAGACGGGGAAATCTGGCGTGTCCTGGTTGTGCCAGAGAGACTGCCGGAGGATGAAGAGAATGTGTGGTCAGCTTTTTGTCCCACTGATATTGATACTCTGCTTTACGCTGGCAAGGCCATCAACGAAATAGTCTTCTGGAGTGAGCGAGATGAGAAGACTTTGGAGCTGCTTGCCTGGGATGTGAGCTTGGCAGCCAGCAAGACCAGGTCCATGCTGCTTGTGCAGCCCTGAGTCGGTACGCGGAAACGTCATTGCAATTGCTCGAACTGCGCTCTGATACAAAATCTTGCATTGTCCATGAGAACTTACCTACGAGTGCCCTTTGAACAGGTTTCGCAGTATCGACGGCTCCTTCTTAGCCTTCACTTTCACCTTGTCCCCTTTGCTCCTTCTCGTACTACTGCTCACGTCACTCTTAGCTTTCCTACTCTTGGTCTTCTTCGACTTGCCCTCAAGCGGCTTGAAGTCGGCTTCGGTGAGCTTTCCCTCCTCAATAAGAGTGCGAGTAGCAACAGGGGTAATGAATTCTCCATCGACACTGGTTCCCATCGAGTTGGCCGCTTCGTCAGCGATCCCTCGTCTCCATTTCTCAATGGAATCGAGCTCCCGCAGTTCATCTACGTCTTCGTCTGCACTTGCAGCTTGAGCTTCAACAGCATTCTCCAGAAGACGTTCTGCGCTGTTCTTGGCTTTGATTTTTTTGATGATTTTGTAGCTGCCGAAGGCGATGATTGTGACACCCACGCCCACGCCTGCTGCAATTGCAAATTGTGGGCTTGCGAGGAGTGCTATGATCGCAGGAAACGAAGTCTTCATCGTCGCAAGAGCGCCAGGAGCCATCTTCGCGGCAAGGTTTGCAATTTCTCCCAACGTCAAGGCCACAGCTGCCAGAGCATCGGGATTTTTCTGAAGATTATCGATCATGGCAGTGACGGAATGCTGAACACAATTGCCCTCATCTAGTAGCCGCTGCAAATAGGTCATCTTGGATCGAAGCTCGATTTCGTCCTCAACTCTGCTCTCGGGCAGTGGTGGAGGCAATTCGCCATAGGCGAGATCCATGTCGATGTCATCCAGACTGACTCTTCTTCGAGATAAGCCGTTGCTTTGAAGCTGCATGCCATCTGTGTTGCGCCGGGTGAGCTCTTTAATCTCGGGCTCGTCGTCTCCTAGAGAAGCATGTCTCAGTGGCGAAGGCTGATGTGAGTCGTGTCGTTTGCGCGCGGTTCGGTCGTTGGTGTAATAGCTGTCGGAAATTCCACGCTCAACTGGCGGACGTTGACTTCTCCGGGGAGGTACAGGCTTCCTGTTGACAGATCTCCCATCATCGCTTCCCCTTCTCGAAGCTCGCTGCGAAGCACTGTCATCTTCATCGTCGACCAGCGTCAAAGCTTCGAGCTGTTTCCGCGCCTTGCGCTCCCTCTCCTTGGCTTCTAGATCGCTCTTTCTCTGGGCCTTGATTTCGGCTTTCCGTTCGTTGTATGCGCCTTTTGCCTCGGTGAAGACGTTGACCAGATGCTTAGAAGTGCTCACAATCTTCCCGCCCTTGTTGACAATTGTAATGGTTTGGTTTACTGCAACCATGACTGTCGACGCTCTATGGTTTTTGCCCTACGACGTATCGTGATGCTAGGTGTTGACTTGGCCAGCAAGTTCGCAACTTTTGTAGTTCCTGTTCGTTATCTCGTGATCGTAGGAGCGAAGTGTATACAATTTCTGGCCACCAAAATGTCTGGGGATGCAGGAGGTTGTATGCTCGCGCGGAACAAAGACCCCAAATATAGTCGTCTAAGACAACAAAGCGGCTCTTTATGACCTTGTACAGTTGTTGAGCAGAGCTCGCGGCGCGGAGCCAAGGCACGAGTGGGAAACAATGCCGGTATGCGAGCACGCGTGCCTGGTCGACAGAAATGGCTTGCCACGAAACGGCAGTGGTGCGGTGCGGTGCGGTGCGGTCCAAGCAGCGAGCCTTCTCGACGTGTTCGTTGATGACAGCGATCACAATGGCGCTGCGACGAAGCGAGCGAATAGGCCAGAGAGGATGAGTGCTGTCGTTCTGCGATTCGTCGGTATCGTCGTCAATTGGGCGGCAACGATGGATTGGCAGAGAGTCAGCGCCGAATGCCGCTCCTCAACCAAAGCAGCGCTGGCGTCTGCTCGTCAAGCAACAGACGCTATAGGCGCAATACATGGTCGCCTGGGGATGGGCATGGGCATGGGCATGGGCATGGGCATAGACATGGGCAGAGAATGTATCCGCTGTATGGGTACGGGTACCCGCCATGAATGGCGGTAAACGGCGTTGGCAGTGTCAGAAGCTAGAAGCTGCAGAAGCTACTACCCGTCAGCCTCCCAGCCTCCCAGCCTCCCGCACAGCACAGCCACCGCCACATCCGGACATGGAAATTCATGGATCCAGACTCCAGAGCGCTGGAATTGCATTATGCTATTTGAAGATTGCCCTCCTCTGCAGTACTGTAATCCCCTCGGGCCCTCAGCGTGTGCTCCTCGCCGTTTCCACGTTCCAGTCGTTCCTCCACAGCCGGTCCACCCATGTGCCGCCGGCTCGACGAGGCTTGGTCTCGCCTGCCTTTTCTACCTCGTTCACCCCAATCACCAGACCTCGCTTATGTCCTTGTCTGGAGGGTTGAGCAGTCATCTGCATTCCACCTCTTCTCGACTGTCTATCTGTGGCTGTCGCTGTCGCGCGTTGGGCGCCACGCCCGGTCAAGCGTCGCGAGGCACGTTTGAGCGTCTGTCTCATCGTCCATTGCCGGCGTTTGGCGACGATGAAGAGGCTCAGAGTCACGACTGGACAGCTTTAGCTTTGATACATTTCAAAGTCGACCTCGACTGCACTTACTGCCAAATAGCGCGACAATTGCCACGATGATGCAGATGGCAATCAGCCCCCCTCTGCTCAACGTGAAGCCGCCGGATTGCGATCCGGAAGCTCCAGCATCCGTGTCAACAGTGTTCCCTGAGCTCCCCTCGCCGTATCTATAATCTGAGGCTTGAGCGTATGTTGCTGTGGTCTGGACATGGGAACCGGTTGTTGAGCCTGCTGGTATGGGTGTGGTGAAGGCTGGCTTCTCTGATGCAGTTGCTGTAAGACTGGGCTGTGCTGTCGTGTCATCGACTTGTCGCTTGAGCATTCCTGCTGTGCCTAGCGATGCCGCTGCTATTACGGGCACGGAGCGTGCAAGTTTCATCGCGATGGTTTCTTCGAGGGGCGTCGATGTCTATGGGCCGAGGCTCGCAATGTCTTGATGCGAGAGTGTAAAGATGTCGAGAACACAAGGTCAAGAACATATGAGAAACCCACCTTGAGTACTGTACCAGTAGCGGAAGCGCCCAGGGTGATCTGGTCTGCATAGAGCAGTGTGAAAGTGGGTTAGTCTGAGCGAAGCGAGAGGGACAGGACCGAGACGAGACCAATGCAGAACATCTCATACGGATGACTTGATGATCAAGAAGCCCGGGTACCAATAAGACGTTCAAGATGGATTCTGTTGTGGAAGCGTGAAGTCGGGTGTGATGGGCGGCTATATGTATGCATGCATGCGTAGACGATTGGTCGTCATGAAGAGCCAAGGAAGTTGGACACCCGACGTCTGCAGAGCCCAGACATCCTCAGGCGCATACAGTCATCCATTTATTATTGTCAACTCGACGCTCTACCCATCTTGGGTTGAGAATGATCACAATCGCATCACAACATCTTGACATATTGTAGCTTGCTCCTGAATCACGCTTTCGACGAGCACCTTTCGCGGCTGCACGGGTCGTTGATGTTGCCTCTCCATCTGTCTGTCCTGTTCTTCTCGTGGTATCCTCTCTGTGACGAGACGAGTGGCATGTGGCGTCGCTCAACTGCGCTCGAATCTGCCATAAACGGCGTGGATTCCAAATGATGTCGAAGAGCGCGGGACGCTGCGCTGCTAAATCGCCATGGCATAAGTGTATAGCACAAAGCTGGCCCAGAGGCGATATCAGTAGGTCGAGTCGCACTGCTGTTCATGGCGCTGTCACGCGAACGAGATCTCCGCACGTCATGGTAGGTCCAAGTAAACCCATCGATGCGCTGACGATGGGAAGTGTGAAAATGGAAAGAGGACGGGACCGTGCAGGAAGCAACGACGCGAGTGCCTGCCTCGCCTCGCCTGCACTCTCGCCACCGCTTGGCCCAAACCTCACATGATTCTGGACCTACTCTTGCTCCTGACGACTCTTTAGGCTGGCTGGCCACTCAGCGGAAGGCGTTGCGTTGCGTTGCGTTGCGTTGCGTTGGCATGATGGAGGCCAGCAGTCAGGCAGACGCACACCCTTGGACGGACAACTTCGTTGGTGTGCTTCCCTCGACCGAGCATTGCACCTCGCAACTCGCCTCAACGACGCAAGGCAGTGTCTCGTCTCGACGCAGTCCGCCACTCGAGCCCTCTCGAAGCCCGCCGCCCTCGCAGCTTCAGGTGGACACGCAGGCTGCAGCCTCGCGACGCTCAGAGAGGCATTTCGCTTTCACTACAGCCTCGCGGCCCGGACATCGGCTGACTCTGCGGACTCTGCCTGCGATAGGTAGATATCGCCCCCAACAGCATGCTCTCCTCCTGTCCGGTCCGACAGTCAACAGTTCCAGGCTTTCCGGGCACATGCATGCTGTTCGTGCGAGAAACTCCAATGAAGCGCCACTCACGATGCAGGCGCAGCGTTCCGAAGATGCTAATCTCCGCTCGACTGATGTGGAGGATGCCATTGGAGATATGGCAAGCAAGATATGCCGCAAGAGCAAAGCAGAGTCCGCCATGCATGATGCCGAACGTGAGACTCTGAAGCATCGGCTTCAGCAAGCTCTAGATCGCCAGGGCCTTCTTCAAGGTCGACTAAAAGCCGTTGAGCAAGAGAACGAAAATCTCTCCGCAGCTATGAACGAGCAGGCAGCAAAACTCTTCGGGCACAGGTCGAAGACCAGCCGTCTGAAAGCTTTTGTTGATGGCCTGGGGAATGATTTGGCTGTCGTCAGAAAAGATTCATTTGCCCAGCGGCAGCAGACTGAGCAGCTAATCGGCCATGTCAGTTTAAACAGGCTTGATCACACTTCTTTACTGCAGCAGATGTCTGCTTGCACTGAGAGGTCTACACAGCTGAAAGCGGAGGCATTGAAAGCTTTGCGCGAAACCAATGAGAAGCTTGCAGTGGCAACTGTTCGGTCTTCAACCCTCGAAGAGCAGGTACACGAGAAGGGCCGGCTGCTTTCTGAGGAGAAGCAGCTTCGATTGCACTTACTGAGTCGGCTGAAAGATGAAGATGCCTCAAGTGGAGCCATCACAAGGCAGATGAAAACGGCCTCCGATACAATCCTGGACAAATTGTATGAGATTCATGCCACTTTGGAATGCGGCAACACCAAAGATGACCTTGTCGAAATGCTTGGGAAGATTGCAGCTGCAGTACAGGCTCTGAACTCGCAGCAGACTTCGACCGTGGAGGAAGTCACCTCTCTCAAGGGACTTGTGGAGTCTATATCTGAAAGGTAAGTGGCCAGCGTAAACGTACTAGTAGGCACTGACAGCGGCGCGAACAGCCTGAGCAGCCATGACGAAGACCAAGACAACGCCATAGGATCTGAAAGCTCCTTGAGGTCGCACTTCGACGAGACGCTAAAGACTCTGAGAGCTGACCTATCTCAGCACCAGCAGTCATCGAGTCAGGATTATGCAAACGGAGTCATAATTCAAGGGTTGAAGAATGACCTTTCGACAGCCCGTTCCTTCGAGGTCCGGTTCAAGGACGCACAAAAGAAGGAGGCCGAGTTGGAACAGCAAATCGTGACACTGAAGGAACAAGTGGCGGCTCAATCAAATTCCAAGATCGAGCCAGCAGAAGGCATCAAGCTGAGCGACGCGCTCAAACATGCAGAAGCTCAGCTGCAGCGCAACGTGGAACAAATTGTTGACTTAACAACTGCAAAGTCAACTCTGGAGGAGAAACTCAGACTCGTGCAGCAGAGTAATGAAGCTCCTGAATTATCTGCAACTTTGACGAATGCGGAGGTCCAGCGTCAGGTTGCCCACAAGATTGACCAAATTCGAACAGAAATGGCGAGACATAACCATGAACTGCAGACTCGTGACTCCGCTGATACAGACAATGAGAACAAGAGATTGGTCCACGAGAGTGCGAGACTCGCAAGAGATGTTCGAAGTCTTGAGAATAAGCTAGCTTCTGCCAATGCCGACCTGGAAATGTATCGAGCTCAATTTGACAGTAGTAACAGGGAGGTAGAGGGTTTGAAGAGGATGGTGAATGCAAGGGAAGCAGAGGTCTCGGGCTTTGGAGCCGCGCAGAGCAACTTAGAAGCTGTCCAAGACGATCTCGAGAAGTCCCGCGATAAGGTGAAAGCTCTCAATGAACGGCTCGCTGCTGGACAGAAAGAGGGCGAACGAGCTGTCGAACAGATCGGAGCGCTACGAAGAGTGGTGGAAACCCTTCCGAGCAAGGTGCACAGCGGTGAAGATCGCGAAAGCAAATTGCGTACTCAAGTCACTGGACTCCAAGGCCAAGTCAGACGGGCGCACGAAGATGCAAAACGAGTCGAAGTCAAATATGACACCGAGCGCCATAAGGCGAAGGCGGCAGTTGAGAAGACTGCAACCGAGCTTCGAGCAAGGCTGTCCGAGGCCACAGAGGAGCTGATGAAAGCGAGAGCTGAGAATACTGGGTTTCTCGAGCAAGTGGGATTTAGCTGGCAAGAGACTGCCAAGAGTCACGAGCAAACGGTCATAGGACTCAAAGCTGATTTGGTCAAAGCTGAGGCTGCCAAAAATGTGGCTCTTCTCGAGAATCAAAAGCCTGCACGCGGTATGTCACCTCATCGAGACGCAACAGAAACGATTCCAGCTCCGGTTGTTCAAGAGTCCCAGGTAATTGCACACGAACATACCCTGCCGGACAAGATTCGAGGAGCCGTTGTTGAAGAATCACAAGATGTCGAACCTGCAACTACGCCCCGGACTTCCTCCCCGCTGACAGCCGCAACGGTCTCTGCAAAGCGTGTGGTTGCTGTACCTGGCACACAGGCAGACTCTTGCCAGAGCTCCGGCATGGGTCTCCAGCGCATGGATCCGCTGCCCTCTTTTGCTGCATTCAACAACACACGGCAAGCTTCAGAGCCTGACTTCAGCATCTATGAGGATGCTGTGAACCAAAGCGATCCAGACAACGCAATGAGTCGAAGCGGGCAGGATGGTCTGCAGCACCAAATCGATCGACACGCATCGTTAAAGTAAGTCCAGCGTTCACCGAGCTTCCAAAGCCATCAGTCATCTACTCGCTTTGGAGCGTGGGCTAGCGGTGATAGTTTGCATGACTGGCTACCCGGAACATTCGTACGTGCTAACACTTTCTCTCTGCGTTCAGTTCTATGCCACCTCCCAATAGCTCGATGAAGCTGGTACGCCCAGCCTCCGGCTCGCAGCAGTCGGGGTCGTTGAAGCATATCAACAAGCTGCCTCAGAGCTCTTTCCAGACCCCGAAGCCACGAGACATCCAAAGCCCAAAGGTAGATCCACTGTTAGATCCCGTTTCACCCAATGTAATGCCAAGGTATGTTCACGACTTGACCTGCACGCGTGTCCAGAGCGATTGCTGGGAAAAAAGCGGGTTTGACGTGAATCAGCAGCTCCCCCGAATTCATTGCGACTGCGAGCAACGGGCGACACTTGAATCGATATCAAGGATCGGGAAAGAAGCAAAAAGAAGCGGTCGGAGGGTTGAAGCCTGCACGCGGAACAGTGAAGCGGAAGGCAGACAGCCAAATCATTGATGGCTATGAGCACGAGCGCAAGCAGCGAAGGGCGGCGGCGAGCGATGCGACATCTCACCCACAGTCGAAATCTCTCGGCCTGGTTCGACGCTCGAGTGTGAAGGATCTGCCTTCCATTCCACGGTCCATGCATAGCTCTGCTGGCACTACAGCGCGACAGACACGGGCTGCGAAGCGATTGACCACAAGTAAGAAGAATTTTGAGTCACGAGAGCATTGATGGCCTGCTAATGAACACGTAGATGAGGAGAAGAACGCGCGCTTTGCCCGAGAGCTTGCTGGACGCTGACGGCTGTCTCTGGTCACGTAGTGCTTTCGAGGCGGGAATCGATCCGCAGCGAAGACCTGGCTCTGTGTATTCTATCATAGCTCTCGACCATGACGGTCTTGGTGTCTCCATGTAACCAATTGCTCTGGTGTACAAAAACACCGCGTCTTGCCTTGCCTGGCTTCAGTAGCTCACGCTACCACTCAGGTGTGAGCTCCGATCCATTCCCATGCTCTCTGCTCTTCCAGTGCATCGTCATCCTGCGTGATCGCGCAGGCTCCAGCAGGCGATGGATGTGCAGTGGCTGGGCCTCCTGCCTGCGTAGCCATGGGCTTTTCAAAGGTCTTGCTTAGACGGGTCGTGATATGCTTGCACTGCACGGCCACCAGGTACTATCGATCGCTATTCGGTGCCGCGGTTGTTGGAAGGATTTTACTTGCCGCCGCGTTTTGCTTCAAGGAATAAAACTTTCTTCTTGACTGATAGCACGCGTCAGATGTCATGATTGCTTTCGCCAGTGAGGCATACTGACCGACTGGGTCATATTTCAGCATGCTCAGAGGGCGATGGGTTCTCGGCCTGGTGAAGGTTTTGTAGTATCCCGTCATGGCCATTGAGATGAGGCGCACGGCGATGGTGCGCGATTTGGCTGTTGCCGTATATCATCAGTATCGATGGTGTGTGGATGCGCATCGCCAGTCTGCAGCCGCGTACCTTTCTTCGCCATGACGGGAGATTTGGCCGATGGGCGACTCGCTTGTGGTGGTATCGTCTCCAGGTGGTGTTCTGTCAGTCAGACGCCGTGGCCGTGGCGCTGGCGTGGAACAAAGCGCACCGCGCCAGTGTAGCCGATGTCACCCGCCTCGCCTCGGCTCGGCTGTGAACGCGCGATTCCCACCTGGCGACGCAGTACTTTGTTATGCCATCTGACCCCGATTTCTCCCAGTCGACCTCTCCTACCACCACTCGACCCGTCGATAGTCAACCCATCGTTCTGAGGAGCTATTGCCATTCTCACAGAACAGTGCAGCGTCGCCACCACCACCACCACCACCACCACCGACTCTCCACTTGACCCGACCGAAGCATCAATCAGCCATGGTTGCCGACGCTGTAATATACCACCCCTCTGTGGCTCATTTCAACCGCTTTGTAGCCACTACAGGTAGGCCAGTCCCGCCCCGTCGCTTGCACTCGCAGCCACATAGTAATGCTGTAGACTCAAGTTGGTCGCGACAAGGTCCTCCGAACAGTGCAATACTTCTCCCGCTTCTTAGCCTGGTACCTCTACCGAACCAACCACCCGCAGACCACGGTCGCCATCTTCGAAGCCATCAAGAAGAACTTCGGAAGTGCGAGAAAGGCATTCAGGCTCGGCAAATTCGTCGAGCACTTTAAGGCCGCAGCCGTCGCAGCTGAGTCCAAGTCGATGGATCCAGTGCTCAAGTACTTGGCCGTTGGACGCCAGCTCGGATATGCTTCCTATCTCTCTCTCGACGCTTTGACCTACTTTGACCAGACTGGCATCTACAAGCTGTCTAACGGCGCGAGGTTGCAAAAAGAAGCTTATCGCGCGTGGTTCGCAGGTCTGGCCTGCAACATTGTTGCCGGACTGTATACACTTTACAACCTCCAAGCTATCGCTCAGAAGCGCAAGCATAGCGCAGATGCGGAAAAGAAGGTGGAGGAGAAGACCCTCGAGAGGTATTACACATCCTTGCATGTCCTCGATCAGAAAATTACTGACACTTGCTAGGGAAAAGGCAGCAACACAGCTACAGCTCATCTCAGACGTCGCTGACATTACAGTTCCAGGCAGTGCCATCGGCGTCTTCAACCTCGACGATGGCATTGTTGGTCTTGCCGGTACACTCAGCTCTCTCATTGGTCTTTCTGCTGCATGGCAGAAGACAGCATAACCGTATTCACATCAATCAACCAAGCTATACTTTGAATCAGTATTCACCCGGGTGTTGTACAGATTGTCGTATCTTTTCCTTGCGAAACTGTGGTAGAAGACAACATGGTGCGCGGCTGAGTGGGGAGCAGCGGCGCATGTTCGCCTATCAGAAGCATGGGCAGGCAGGCAAATTCGAATCTCCATACATATGCGCGTCAGCCCACCTTTGATTATATCTGAATCGTAATATTCCCAAAGACTACTGTGAACAACACTGGAAAATGTCGAGTGCGCCTGAACATGCCGAAGCAGACTCATACAAAGCATCAGGCTTTAGCAATCGTATGGGCTGGGTCTGTACCAAGAATGAGCACGAAGTTCCAGCACATAAACTAAAACATGTGCAGGGCAAACGGCCAGCTCTTATTTTGATTGATGTCTGCGCAGCCTACTTCACTGCAGGATCACCGCTGGATTGCAGCTCTAATCCGGCTGCTACTACTGCACCAAGTGTCATGCGGCGGCTGGTGCAGGCGGCTCGAGAAGCCAAGGTTCCGGTGGTCCATACTCAGGTCCTCTATACCAAGCAAGATATGTCCGATGCTGGACTGTTCTACTTGAAAGCTCGACCGTTGGACGTGTGGCTCAAGGGCAATGCCCGTGGTTACGACGCTCTCCTCCCGGGCTTAGAGCCGCTCGAAGGCGAAGAAATCATCGTAAAGAAGCACGCTTCTGCCTTTTTCGGAACTGAGCTTGCTGGAACACTGCATCTACTCGGAGTGGATACCGTGGTCATAGCGGGTGTAAGCACGTCTGGGTGTGTGAGAGCAACCACATTGGATGCAATGCAGCACAACTATCGTCCTATGGTCGTTGCCTCCGCTTGTGGCGACAGAAGTCAAGCCATCCACGATGCAAACATCTTCGATATGGATGCTAAGATGGCGGATGTTGTGGGCGAAGATGAGGCGATTGAGAAGCTAAGAGCTGGCTGGCCCAAGGAATGAGGTATCGTGACTCTCGAGACAGTGTCAGCTACACTTGGTTATTGCTCTAGCCCCGACTCCGCCGTGTTCTTCGCAGCGAGGCGATGAGCACTGAAGAGGACGAGCGGTGTAAAATTTGCTTTCCATCGATTTGGCGAGACTTGAGACTCAGCTCGAAATCACCTCGCATCATTGTCACTATCCCTGAGCAATTGTATTGTGACAGACACACCGAGCATCCGAGGCCTTTTCCCAAGGCTGTGGCTCGGTTTCTTAGAGATTGGCGGCGTGCCATACCAAGACTGCACATGTTCTGACAACAGCTGCCCAAGTCATGCCATGCTGTACTGGCGTCCAGGCGTCACCTGCCTGTACGCTTGCTCGACATTGTATGGTAAAGCTCGAGAGCGAATAATGAGTGCACGAGGAATGCGACTGCCTGTTGGCGTGTTGACTATCTCCAGGAGATTGGATTGGGAGAGAAAGCGACGGAGAGAAGCTTCTGATTATGGAAAGCTTTGAATGCTGACAGTCGCAGGAGCGGCAGCGGAATCAAACAGGCTCCGCTGCCGACGGCGAAAGAGGGACTTTGTCGAACAACCTTCTCCGTTCACCCACAGTAAGTTGCCGTAGTTACGCACTGAGCACGACCGACTTTCATGCAGATCATTATGGAGAACGACAGCACGCCTCGCATAGCCGTGCGATCATGTACAACCTGCTCGAAGGCCAAGGCGAAATGCGTAAGGAGGGTTGGTGAGAACGTATGCGAGCGGTACGCCTATCCACCTATCCTATACCGTTCGGCAGCGCTCGGATCGACCAGTATACGTCTTTGCTTCACTCGCAGCGCAACGCGGATAGTCGTCTACTCGCAAGTCTGTGTCTTGCGATGATCGTCTCGAATGCCTGGTTGCTAGCCTCGTCGTATACTGACGCGAGACGCAGATGTGCGAGGCTGAAGAAAGAATGCCACTCGAAGGAACCTATTCTGAAGCGGAAGAAGCCTGTCAAAACAACGTATGTCCGACTTCATGATGTTTGCATGAGATGCCTGGATTGACAAATATGCAGGCGTGCTGCTCAGCTGGAGAAGCTGGAGAGCAAAATTGCACATCTAGTTCATGCACTTTCTTCCACGCCTCAAGTAGCTCGAGCGACAAATGAGTATGGTCAGCCATCACCTCCAATCTCGCAAGTCTCTATAGGACAATCCTTCGCTACCGATAAAGGATTAAGCCGACAGCATGAAGTCCTCAATGCAATGTGCCACGAGGAACCAATCCATGACGCTACAGAGACACCTGGCCGCTCAAGCAAGGTCACTTCACCAGCAACACTGGCTCCCAATAGCGAGGCTCGATCGAACGCGGTGACCTTGAATGAAGCCGAAGTGTTACTGGATCGCTTCCGCCGACTAATGTCGCCTGGGCTTCCATACGTTGTGCTTCCAGAGGGTGTCAACGCCCAGGAATTATACAAAGCCAAGCCCGTCTTGTTAAGGGCAATCACTACTGTTGCCATGTTTCACGACCTGCCCAGGCAACAAATACTGTTGAGAGAGTTAATCAGAGACATCAGCGAACGTATCATGATCAATGGAGAGAAATCCATCGACCTTCTTCAAGCCATCATGGTATTTGTGGCCTGGTTTCACGCTCATGTATTCTGGTGTCAACAAGTCACCAATCTGCTTCACCTGGCCATTGCTCTTACGATCGACATGGGTATCGACCGGCAGCCACAGCCTTGGGGAGTCTTCAAGACGCAAACGACAAAGGCAGTACACGGCAATAATATTGCTACTCGAACGCCCACTCTTGAAGAGCACCGCGTACTCGTGGGGCTGTTCTATCTCTCGTCGATGCTATCGTCTTCTTTCAAGAAGGTTGATGCAATGCCATTCACCAGACATATGCGAGGATGCCTTGCTGCACTGGAAGCAGCACGAGAGTACGACACCGACATCTTTCTCGTGCAAATGGTTCGCATACAAACCGTAGTGGAGACCATCCACACGACAGATTGCCCTACAGTACCGGCGAAGATATACACCAAAGCCTACCAAGCAGACCTGGAAAGGCTTCGTCGCACGGATGAGTGCAAAGAGGACAATCTTTTCCTACAGATGCAATATCTCACTGCCGAAATTTCGATGTGGGAGCTCTCCTTGATCGAGCTTCAAGAAGATCGCTCGAAATCACTCAGCAGTGTCCTGGACGACTTGTATCGATGTGTGGCAGCGATCAAGGCATTCCTTGATGTCTACTTTGCCATTCCATCCGCAGCATACTACTTGTTACCATTTTCGGTCTTTGGGCAATTTGCGCACGCATTTATAGTGTTGACCAAGCTTGCTTCGCTGGACGTGGAAGGATGGGATCTCACGGTGTTCGGTGAACAGGTCAGCTTCTGTGAAGTAATCGAAGAGTCTGCTGTCAGGTTCGAAGAATCTACAAAGTCTGCACCGGACGGGATTCGCGTCAACAACGAATCATTCCGCAAGTGGGCGCAACGCATTCGGTGGATGAAGCAGGTGTACGAGTCGAAATTTAACGAACAGCATCCCGACGCATCTGTAGGCGCACCGGACCCAGCAAGCCAATCTCGACAGCCTGACGACCTGGGCCAGCCGACGCCACCCGACGAAATTCTCAATACTGACTTTTTCAACTACCTCGATGAAAATTTTTGGGACAGTTTTGCTGGAGAATTTGACCTCGGCTTCCCAGCCAATTCACTGGCAGTAATATGAATTCCGGCCGTGCGGACAGGCCGGCTTGTAATTGTCAATAATGATCAGATGATAATGAAGGTGTAATGTGTTAGTCGTGGTCAGACGGCTCGATGCGGTCCTCGTGGACATCGATAGAAGAATGAGACATCTCAGCTATCCATACAGTCCTATACAGAGCTTGCGCGCGGCAGGACATTGTCCAAACCCACAGAACCTGTTCATTTGGAAACACAACGGACGCTCAGATGCACAAGAAACCATACGCCATCCGATTGCTGAGAGATCTGCTTTGCTCTGTCGAAACTACAATTCTAGCTCGAATGACCTAGTACTCCATTGCATTTTCGAATAATCCTCGGAGCTGTTCCCTTTCAGCAGAAGTATCTTGCATCTCCAAATTCGGTGCCAGCATCAATACACGTGCTTGCGGCATGGTGCCCTCCACCAGCGCATCGATATGCTCATTCTTGAAGCCCAAGGCCTTGAGACCTCTCGGTTGATCGCCAAGCTTCACGAGGAACTCTGCCAATGCCTCACTGAGAATCTCGCCAGCACTGTCCTTCTTCGCATTCGAAACATCGACACCAAATGCTTCCGCAGCTGCGAGATGTCGCTCTGGATTCGAAGCACCGGTAAACCTGAAGACTGCTGGTGCACTGACCGCCACTGAGACTCCATGAGGAATGATCGGAGTTTGCACTTCATAGCCAGCATGTTGGTAGCCGGGATTCTGCGATGAAATTGGGTATGACATTCCGTGGCAGAGATGGACACCTGCGTTCCCGAAACCTACGCCCGCGAGTGTGGCAGCAAGGAGCATCTTGGATTGAGCCTCCCAGTCATCCGGATCCTTAACAGCACGAGGAAGATATTTGACAGTATCTTTGAGGGCCTGGAGCGAGAAGATGTCGCTAATTGGATTGGCACCTTGGTAGGCAGGCCTATTGATTGGATTGGTTGGTCTCGGAACTCGTTCGTAGTAAGGTATGGCTGTCCATGATTCAAGACTGTGGCAGAGAACATCAAGACCGGATGAGGCGTGGACTGCTGATGGCATGGTGCGAGTGTTGATCGGGTCACAAACTCCGAGGGTGGGCTTAAGGTTGCGATGAGCGATACCAGTCTTCGCTTTCTTCGATACGAGATCGAAGATGGCCGTGCCCGTGGTCTCAGAACCCGTTCCAGCAGTGGTTGGCACAGCGATCAGAGGCTTAAGCTTAGACGTGATCGGCTTGCCTGCTCCAAGGGGCGCGTTGACGAAGTCCAGAAATTCAGCATCGGGACAGGTGGTGTACAGGTTCATCAGCTTGGCAGTATCGATCACACTGCCGCCACCGACAGCCAGAAAAGCATCAGGTGCATACGGCTTGGCAAAGTCGATGGCCTCCCGAATAGAGTAGTCTTTCGGCTCAACCTTGACTTTGTCGAAGACGTGGAAAGCAATGCCTTCACGTTCCAGGCCTTCGATCGATTGCTTCATTGCATCCAGCTTCGTCACCGTAGAATCGGTCACGACCATGACCTTCTTGGCGTGCAGGTTCTTGAAGTCCATGCCGACCTCCTTGGTGCAGCCGGGACCGAATCGAATGCTGGACGCGGCCATCTCGAAGGCATATTCTTTCTGTTGGTGTGCACTGCCCACAGGGGTCGCCAGCGACCGTACGCGTCCAGCGGTAGGATTCTTCTGAGCATGGTGGTGATGACCGGGGTTGGAGTGACATGGGCATGTACTGGTGCCGGAATTGATGGCGCGCAGGAGGCCCACGGCTTGCTGGGCTCGCGTGGGAGCAACTCGGATGGCGGGCATTGTGATGGTGAAAAGCAATTCTTTACAGAGCGTGTCAGACAGGCACAGGAAGAGGTCCGGCGTAGTCGACGACGACATCGGTGCTTGCTTGCCCTATCCCGTCCTCGATAGGTGGGGCTCGTGCGGTTAAGCGTACGCCTCATGCATGCCTCGGCACTCGCTCTGTACGCTCCGTAATTCTTCCTATTCTTCCTACGGCGAGCTGTATGTGCTCTCGGAGAGCCTGTCGCGCAATGGAATCGGAAACAAGATATGCTCAAGCTGAGAGGCGTCGTGAAAGCCACTGAGAAAACGATCGTCTTTGGCAGGCAGGAACACTTCCGAGCCTGGATTTAGCTACATACATCATGCCTGTGTTGATATTACCCATGGCCGTGGCGGCGTTTCATAAGTTCCCAATGGCAAAAGAACACGAACGCCGGGCTATGCATTCTTCCAACTCAAAATGAACCGTAACGACTTTTGCACCGGCCGTGCGCCTCGCACTAGTGCTCGCTGAAGCAGCACATCAAATGCGATTGTCTATGATAAGTGGAAAGCTCCCTGGCCTTCCTTGGAAGCTGTATTGAATCTCGACTTGAGAACTTCAAGTGAGCTGTAATCTGGCATCTTCAGATAGTTGACGCATGTCATGACACTGGGTAGGTAATCGTCGGAGGTATATGGCGCATCGGCGCTCTTGCGGACCACGGTAAACATTGGGGTGAGCGATTTGAAGCCTGCGGGAAATATTAGCAAAGACCATAAAGCGTGCATGTTGCCTACACATACCTCCGATCGGCAGCTTCGGGCTGCCCGTAACAAATTGCAAGAAGTCGCGCCGGTCTTGAGACGAGAACTCTGACATGGCTTGCAGCAGGTTGCGGACGCTGCGACTGTCCAGGTTAAATCCGTGATCGGCTTTGATAGAGTCCATCAGCGTTTCAAGTGACCAGTCCTCCTCTCCGTGACCGAAAAGCATGCAGAGCTCATCCGGCGTGAACGCTCTCAGTGCCGAGTATGGGAAGACGAGTGAGAAACCAGTCCGGAAGGCTTCCACCTGTCTCTGCACGCCAGACTGTAGAGTAAAGTCGATGACCTTTTTGATGTACTGTCCGACGTTGTCGATGGTGACATTGATAGTGGACCCATATGGAAGAAGTTCGATATCAGGATGACCAGGCAGGGTGAAGTCCAGACCGAGATCTTCGATATGAGCATCATTGATTCGAATTTGCTCTGCCTTGGAGGCCTTTTGATCCGGCGAGAGGGTTGCATCTTCGTCAATGCGCTGCTTAGCATTGGCATACTTCCTCAGGACCTTGAGCGAGTGGGCAAGGCCTTCGTCGACCGCAGCCACGGCGCCGAGCGATGGGGTGACCGTCGTGGTGCTTGCACCGACACGGAAGAAGGTCGGGTTGAAAGACACATCGATGATGCGCGAGTCAAGCATGGATCGTGCCACAAACTTGCCCAGCATCTTGAACATGTTTAGTACCTTCTGGCCATTCTCCTTACGTGCCATCTCTTCACTCATTGGCGCAGGGAATAGGCCGCGCTTGCCAAATGCGTACTCGCTGTTGTCCAAGGACTCATTCTCGCGCCACAGCTTGGTCTTCTTCTTGGAAAACTCTTTGGAAACAGTGGAGTAGAATTCCAAGGTCGGACCCAGTCCAGTGCCGACCTCATCAAAGTATTCGACTTCCAGCATGCTCGAGGATGAGCCATAGAGCTCCATCACCTTCATGGCAGATTCGAGCATGCGAGACCGTGAGATACGAACTTTTTGGCGCTGCACTCGTCCCAAGAACGGGCGTTCATCGCGATGGCGGCTGCGTGATGATTCTTCCTGGCTGTTCTGCCAGCGCGACATGAGCCGAGAGTATCCGAAAGAGGTCGATTGCAGGAAAAGATGGCGTGTCTCGAACGGAAAGAGAAAGGGATAGAGGCGGGCAAGATCCTCTGCCCATGTGGGGAGGCACTGGCTCGCCACGATCAACGGCTCCTCCAGCTGTCGATTGAGCTTGGCCGTCAACTTCGTGTTGACGAATTGGGATGGTGGTTCGGCGTTGAGTTTCACTGTAGCCTTGTGTTCAGCCAAGACATCGTCCAGATTGGCATTCAAGGCATGTAAAATGCTCATCAATCGCAAGATGCCTGAAGTTACAGGATGGTTGTCCAAAGAGGGAGGGAGACCATTCTGAGAAGTTGCATCTGGCATGGGCGGCGGAGTTCTTGAGCTACGGTCGCTTGGCGGTGGTCCTGCTACCTTCTTGAAGGAGATGGCGTGGGTCGCTGACCAAATGTTACGTGCTGAGACTTCGTCGCCGTGAGCTTGATTGAAATGGCAAGCACGGTAGATCGTAGTATCGCTAGCGATCGGCTGATTGTTCACGCTGAACTCAATGTGCCAATCCTCAGGAGTCTTCTGCACCGCAGAGGCATAGGACATGGGCCTGGTGGATAGGGTAGGCGTGCTCAGCAGCTCTCGTGCTGCAGCAAGTCGGGCAGACGCTGACAGGCGGTCTGCTGTGCTAGTTGGTGTGGGTATGCCTTGAGAAGGTGTGCTAACACGAGCACCATCTTCTGTGCGAGCAGTGACTTTGCCAGAGTTCGCCACCTCAAGATTGACTGCCGATGGGTCGGGCTCATCGCGCTCCAGGGCTCCATCTTCAAGATCATCAACCAGTGCGTCCAGATCAGCATCCATGTCGTCATCGTCATCCGAGATGTGCGCTTCATCAGCGCATTCAAGGGCCTCCTGAAGTGCGTCCCTATCTCCCAGTGACGTCTCATCAGAGTTCTCGGGCTGTGGAGGAGGTGGGGCAATCGATGATGATGCTTGGGAAGAATGTCTCCTCGAAGACCGACGCAATTTACTCGTACTGTCCTCAGTCTTGCCAGGCTCTGTTCCCGTTTCTGGTGCAGATTTGGAAGACTTGGTCCTCGGCATCTTCTTGCCGGTGCTGCGAGTAGGCAGAGTTGAGCTCCCCAACGTTGGCAATGTGGGCGGTGGTGGTATTGATCGATCTCCTCGGCCAGCCATCGCTGCCGCATATGCCGCCATGGCACTTGACATGTCTCCACGACGAGAACCACGCGGGCGATCGCCCATGCTGATGCGCGGCCTCAAGTAATCATCTAGCGCCTTGAATGTGGCAATTGCATGGATAGAGACCATGATGTTTCGATAAGGACGCGGGATGCCTGAGTCATCGTCGGCTACAAGCTTCAGACGAAGCTGCTTAGCCAACATAGAAGCTGCGCTGCCTCTATTGCTCTCAAATGCATTGTGGTGCACCGTAATCACCTCGAAATGCTCGGCACGGCTGAGCAGTTCCTGAAGCTTGTGCGTGAGGACACTGAATGCCGTGGACGGAGATTTGGCGTCCCTAGTGATGACAATTGCCTGCTGTGTTGCCATGAAGACCTCGAGGAAATCGGAGCGTGCGGCGGTTGCCGCCTCCTCGTTGGCGGCTGTGAATAGGTCGAGAAGGACGTCTACTATGCCAGAGGTCATCAATTCATAGCTCGTGATGCTCTGAACGGTATCACCATCGAAGTATTTGGCGAGGCGTGTGAAAATTTCCGTTCCACTTCCAGCGGCAGCGCCTGAATAGCATGCTCTCAGCTGATCTGCAAGTGCCTTGATATCGTCCAACACTTCGGTTGCCCGCGATTGCATTTGCTCGCTAGCTGCTTCGCCATGGGTCTCAAGGAATCGCCTGGCTCGCAAAGTGGTGACGTCCTGTAGATCCAGAATGTGTTGTGCCGGTCGAGATGCAGCCAAGTCAGAGTCGATAGAGCGCTCTTGGTCGTTATCAGCGTCATCTTCATCGTCATCATCATCCTCGTCCTCGACGCGGCCCTGTCTGGGCTTCTCGTGTTCGTCAATGTCTTCTTCGTCGTGTTCGGCTTCACGTGGCTCATCATGATGATCGTGGTCTTCTGAACCTCCGTCTTCCATGTCAACTTCGATCGGCTCATCCTCTTCATTGTGATTTTCCTCGTGGTCGTCATGACCCTCGTCTGGGATGATGGCAGCTGTTCCAAGAGAGGAGTGCTTTTCTGACGCTCCTAGTGTCTTGAGTGGTCGATCAGCAAGTTTCTTGATCTCGGCCATGACACCTTCACGGTAGAATTGCGGTCGATAAAGGGACTCCAGCCGCTTCAATAGCAGCTCGGCGGCCTGGAGCGCAAATGTGACAAGCGAAGTGTTGTCCTGTTGCGACAAGATCGATGCCAGATGAGATGCATAAGTAACACCCCTGAGAGCCTCCTTGAGTATTTCGGCTTCCAGGTTGGAGAGCATTTTGAGCTGAGCAGTAAGCACTTTCTGCCGCACGGAAAGATTGACGGTACTGGTGTATGCGTGCATCAAAGTTGGGAACAAGATGATGGCGAATCTCTTGACTTCGTCCGGGCACTGCTTCAAGAGTTCGACTCTCTTGTCGTTAGGAGCTGTCTTTGAGCGAGTTGACATGGATGCATTGTCTGGCCCGGTGTACCCGGCGTCCTGCAGATCGTCGAGGAACATGAGACTGCCTTGGGATACTGTTGGCAAAAGCTCGCAGATGACATTCAAAGTCTCAAAAATCTGCTCGCGAGGAGTTCGGATGATGGCTTGCATAATAACATTCTTGTCGATCTTGGCAGCAATCTCGTCTGTGCCTGTGGGTGGCGACACTCCTGTTAGGATTTGGTAGAGTGTATCCACTACATTCATCTTGAGGAGCTCCGCAGAAAGCCGTGGGCTTGCACGAGCAGTGATCGAGAGGACTCGCAAGAACTGAGTATGAATGTTTGGCCCAATCATGTTGGTAGTGCCTGGCAGTAAGAGTCGCAGGACTGCCTTGAGCAGCTCTGGGCTCACGAGCTCCTCCAGCTTGCTGTCATGATACTTGAAGCTGTCGATGACCCTAGACACACAGAGCGAAGCTTGTTCCACAACCCGCTGGTCGCTGCTTGAAAGCGTGTTGAGGAGTATCGGCATTACACCGCGTACTGTCGGAAATGACTCCTCCGGAATGTTACGACAGCAATTCGCAGCGGTGGTGACAGCGGTTCTCTGCGTGCTAGTGGCGAAGAAGTCCAGATATGTCAAGCATGCCGTGAGGCCCCCCTCTCGAACGATTGAGGATGGAAACTCGATTGAAATCTTCTCCAAGGTGCTGAGTGCCTGCTCAGCGACATCGATGAAGTTGATTTCAAGCAGTTTCTGACACAGGACCGGCACTGCTCCACCGTAAACGACACTGGCCGTTGCTGCCGGAAGAGCTTCCATCATGTTCGCGATGCACCGGCAAGCGAGCAGCATGACCTCTGGATTCTCCTCACCAGTGAACTCGTTCGGTTGCATCAGTGATACCAGCTCTTTGACATATTGATCGGGAGCGAAATGTCCAGCGAGGTTATCCTCATTGCTGACCAGAAGAATCTCAGAAAGTTCTTGCAGGGCAATGAGCTGTAATGATGGATCGTCCTTGGCACGCAACTGCTCGAGCAGGCCGCGGAGCCGACTGTTCTGGCCCGAGACAATGCCAGATAGAGCTCTCAGACTGTTTGACAGTCCAGCGTGACCGCCAAATCGGGAAAGGTAGCCAGTTGCAAATGGGTCCTCACCACGATCCATGGCGTCCAGTTCATCTTGGCCAAAGCCCCGCTGTGGTGGTGGTGCAGCATCATCACTGCCGTCTGCCCCAAGTCCAGCATCCTGACGAGACTGTTCGTCCTCATTCGGATCCTGATCTGGCTGCTCTCTCTTCTCGTCCACATCCTTCATGACCACATCTTGGCCGTGTTCTTTCCGCGAGCTCTTGCGCGACTTTCGACTCGGTGCTGCTGAGCTCGAGACCAGAGGATCTGCGGTCGGGTCAGTGGGTGCACGCCGGCCGCCGAAGAGGTCCACCTCACCTTCTTTGGACTTGCGGCGGCTCGATTTGCGGCGAGAAGAGTCACGAGGAATTTGCTCCGGCGACGTCTCGCCCGAGGACCCGCTGGTCGGTCTGTCTCTGTCAGCTCTTGCTCGCACACGGGACTGGGGTGGGTGAGCGCACCCAGCACTGGACATAGCAGCAGTGGCCGCTCTCTTGCTTCGCTTGGGTGCCGCAGCGGTCTGGCCGCTCTCGGCGTCCGCACTGGCAGGAAAGCTGTTGTCGCCGGTGTCGTTGGCGCGAGCACGTTTGGGGTTGCGTGGCTCGCGAGCAGTGGGTGGCGGGGGATCGGTGTTGGCGAGCTTGCGCTTTCGGAGGGCGGGAGTATCGCGAATGGGCGGCGAGCGTGTGGCAGTCGTGGCTGGCGACTGCGGTGCGGCGGCAGTATTTGCTGGGTTGGCGGTGCTGGTGTCGGGATCGGCGTTCTGCCTCGCGGTCGCGGAACGCGTAATTCGCTGACTTGGAGGCATCAGAGTCAATGAGGGAGGGGAGGAAAAATGGTGGTGTCGATGGCGAGACTGAGGCAGTGGTGCTGGGACGAGGTGGGGGGGAGGGAGGCAGAGCAGAGGCAGCTCGCACAAGCCGCGGCGCACTGTCCTGCGCTGGTGCTGGTTGACGCAGCGCAGCAGGAGCGACGCGTCGGAGTGCGCGTCAAGTGAGTGCTGCAGCTGCGCGAGGTGGGAGAAGTGAAGGTGCGCTGGGCTGACGTGGTCTGGCGGAGGCAGGCGAGAGAGAGTCGTACCTGGCGTGTGATGCTGGAGACGCTGTCGCTGGCTGAGCCTTAACCATTCTTCTCCTCCGTGAGCCCCATGAGTCGAGTCATGAAAGACGGAGGGGCGAGGCGGGGCGAGGCGAGGCAATGCAGGAAACAGCGCGAGTGGGAGGAAAGGCGTCGCCGTGAAGTCGACGTGCGTGGTGGTGAGGGAGGGAGTGCCGTTGCATCACGACTAAACGACGGCAGATTAACTTCACACGAGCCTCCGATAAGTCGACTCACGAGCGAGGAGCCGGCGCCGGCGCTGACGGGCCACGGAACGCTGCCCGAATGCTTGGCGCCGCATTCACATCCATTCTCATACTACCAGTTCCAAAATCTGTACAATTGTTCATACTACATGTACTTCTAGAACTGCCCTTCGGTATTCCCTTCGCCCATGCTCCTGCTCCCGCTGCTGCCAGCCTGTATGGCCCCGATAATGCCATCCAGATACGTCGCGCCGGACCACTTCTGATGCGTGAGAACATCAGTGCCCACCTCCTTCTCTCTCCTCTGCACAATCTCTACATATGCCTTCATGCCCTCGGTCCTGTAAGCCTTCGCCAGCTCGTGCGAGATCGTGGCAGTGCTGTGTAGACCCGCCAAAGATATGAGCTGCAGAGTGAAGCCGTGTCCGGCGAGATCCCAGATGAAGTTCTTCAGGTCTTGGTCACTGAAGCCATGTGCGGACCAATTGAAGCTGGGCGATAAGTTGTATACCAGCTTCTTGCCGGCATGGACTTCGCGGATCTGCCTCGCAAAGCTTGCAGCCTCTTTCACGCTTGGGTCCTTTGTTTCCAGCCAGAGAAGATCTGCGTATGGTCCAAACTCGATCGCACGCTTGACGGCCGCGGGAATGCCGGCTCTGTAATGGTAGAAACCTTCTCGTGTTCGTGGCGTGTCCCAGCTGAATGTCACAGGTGACCCTGCCACTTGAGCCGCAGCTTGTCGTCGCTTGTGCAGCGGCATATTCCTGTTGTCGCGGGTCTGCTTCAGATATGCTTGCGCGTCCCTTCCTTGCGATTTGATGTGCGCCTCCGCGGCTTCATCGAACGTGACGAGGTTGTGCTTTTTGACCCACTGCGCCTCAAAAGCGTCAATCTCGGGACCTGAGGCGCCTTCGGTCTCCATGATCTGGAGTGTCTCTGCCAGAGGTTCGACATCGTCAGTCGCGCCCAAGATGAACTCGTGGTCTCTAGCATCGATCGCGGACGAAAGCAGCTTGCCACTCTCGCTATCAGTCCGAGCAATTACCAGATTCTCAGAACCCATCAGGTCCCATTGGTATCTCGCCGCTACTAGCCTGTTGATGTGGTCGCCCACGGGCACGAGGACTTTGCCAGCCAAGTGACCGCACTTCTTACCGCCATGAAGCTGATCCTCGAAGTGCACCGCAGCTGCACCATTCTCGGCGAAGAGCTTCGCAAGCTTGAGGACCGCGCTGAGACCGCCATGACCGGTATCACCATCTGCAATGATTGGTCGAAGGTAATCCACATAGGGCGTTTGCTTTCTTTGCTCGAGAGTCATCGAAAGTCTTGCATCGTAATGCCGTCGATCGTGCAGCTGTTGGGCTTTGAATAGTCGCTGTACTTGGTTGGGCACGGTGTTGTACGGATAGTCGCCAAAGTCAGGACTGACTTCATTCGTAGTCGTGAGGACAGAAGAACATGCCCAGCCCGAGACATAAAGCACTTCCTGGTGCTGTGCCTGCTGCGTCATCTGGATTGGATCGATGGCGCCCATTGTGTGGACTGGCTTTCCCTCCGCAGCACGCTCTTCTAGCAGGTTAAAGAGCTTCCTCGCCATCAAGCTGGAGGGGTAGACCTGTTGCAATGTGCCACGCTTGCTCACAACATCTTCGGGCGTGTAAGGTCGCTTGATGCCCTTGTACCTTGGACTTGCCCACCACTCTTTCACCTGCTTCACTTGTGTGTCAAATATCTGCTGCTCGAGATCTGGCTTCTCCGACTCTTTTGCCAGCTGGAATGCGTCTGTGGGCTGTGTTCCTAGTAACGGAGGCTGCACGGCGGAGAAGGTGTGCACCTTACTTGTTCCAGCCATCATGCGAGGTGCAATGCTAGCAATCAGAAGCCTCTGTTGGCGCAGAGCACGCGACGCCGATCGCAACATCGTTGTGTACAGGCTTTCGCCCTGGCGGTCGCTTTCAGGAGGCCTCGATCAAAGTAGAGCTTCGCAATGGGTTGAGTGGGTAATGAGGCTCTGGATTCCGTCGATGGCTGTCATGCAGCAGCTTGTAGATGCTCCCAAGAGCCTCGTTGTGAAGACAGCGTGTATAGAATTCTATTCAAGGTGGAAGTCGCAGGCTTGCGAGGGCTGCAGTCGTCGGGTGTTCACAAAAGAGCAGACATTACAGTTGGCGGACCATGATCAAAGGTCGAAGGAAGGCTGTGCTTTTGTTCAGCGACTCTCCCCGAATGTGTCAGTCAGTCAGTAGTCAGTGCGACGGTGTTAGCGAGGCTGTTACGGAGCGATATCGCACGCCAATGCGAGGAGCTCGCAGCCCTTGTCTCTGCTAATACGACTTGATTATAGTAAGCGATACAGCAGGCCAGACTATTCCAGATTGAAATATTCACAGTTATAGACTGCTTTGCGCACTCCCTTCTCGATCTATAATAGTAGCTAGTAGCTAGGATTAGAACTATTAGATCTAAGACTAAGCGGATCTCTAAGGTTATATATATCTTCTATAATAATAGGAATTTCTAGTCGGAACGTAGGATAGAATATCTAAGTATTCGGAATTCCTAAAATCTACTAACTTATAGATATATAAGTAGGATTATTAAATCGTTTATTATAATAGGGATTATATTAGTAGGTAGATAGAGTAGTAGTAGATATAAGTAGTATTCGATAAGGATCTAAAAGAAGAGGGAGGAAGGTAGAAGAGTTAGCCTAATACTAAGCGCTAAGCCCTACCTAAGGTATCGAGACCCTAGCTTTACTTAGCCTAGTTATATACTAATTACGTATAGCCTCTTTAGCCCTAATATACGCTTCCCTTCTAAAGGCCGCGCCCCTATAGCCTTTCTATATTCTAATCCTAACCTCTATTACTACTAACTTAGCAAATCTAATAAGCTGCTTAGCTACGCTAAATTAAACACTTAACTACCTAATTATATAACTATATTAAACCTTACCTTCTAAGCGCAATATACTACTTAACTCTAACTACGCTATCCTTATATATAATAAAGTAATATATATCTATAAGAATTAAGGACTATCGACTAATTATAATACGAGCGTGTCTTCCTTACTATAATAGGTAGGCGTACAAGGTATTATAGTACTACCTCTATTCTAAGTAATATTATTCGAGTTCTTTGCGTCTACTCTTAAAAGACCTAGAAATGTCTACTTCCGAGGGATTATTCTTGTTATTACGAGGGCTATTATTATTCGTAGTTTCGCTAGCCCTAATTAGCTAGGTTTAGTAGCCTTTAATTATTAATTAATCTTATTTTTTTAAAAATATAGTTTGTCTAGTTTCTATAGGTAAAGGCTATTATAAGTGCAATAGTTAAGGTTCGTATTACGATATAATACTATTGTATATACGATAGTAGGCAGCGGTTACTATTAACCGCTACGGTCGCTATTGCTACTAATAGTAGGACTATTATATAAATAGCTTACCTCGCGGTACCTTAGAGAATATATTAACTTTTATACCGTATAACCGTTACGATACCTTTATACTATAACCGTATACCTAGCAACTTAGTAGCTTCGCTTAATACTTGGTTAGCTTCTATACTAACTACTAGTCCTCTACCCGAATCGACCCTAGTCGTTATAGCTACGACGAGAATCGACGCGATTAGCTACGGGTCCTACCGATCTTCCGCCGATTACTACGATTTAACTCCTATCCGTTATAACGGTACCTATTCGATTTACTACCCTTCCGTACTATATCCTACCGACGCGCGAGCGCCTTATCGGCGATCCTATTAGTATACCGAGGAGACGGTAGCGGTAGTTTCTACCTTTAGTAGTAATTGCCTCCTATACCTAGGTCTAGGGTAGCCGCTTTCCTGAGGAGGACCTACCCCGATAAGGGCTAGCCTATAGGGGTAGCGTTAGCTACCGAGAGGTGCTTTCGGTGCTCGGCGGTAGTACGGTTAATTCGGGCCTAGTCCTTAGGTTTGTCGTATTAGCCTAGTAGATAGCTAGTACTATTATAATTAAAGCATTTCAATCTAGTAGGGAGATTGCTATAGCTGCTATTGTTATTATTAGTAGAGCGGCTAGTACTATAGGGATACGAGCCCCTTCTACGGCCCCTATTACGGCCTCCTCTATATAGCCGTTAGCTACGGCCTCTTCTACGGTCGTTGTTACTATTCCTATTATTAGCGTTATTGTCTTAGTAGGAACCTTAGTTTCCTCCGTAGGTACTACGGTTACTATAGTTAGTACTAGCTAGTCGGATCCTCGATTCTAGTCGTTATTAGAGCTAAACAGCTCGTTTAGCTGTTTCTACTTCGACTATAAATTAAATGCGTATTAGGTTAGCTTGTTTAAATATACGGCGACGGTCTAATTTGAGGACAAGCTCCTATCTAAGCTTTAGGCGTATTTCCGAGATCTATATAGAATTAGTCTTAGCCGGAAGGTTATCTTTAAGGGTCTTTAAATAGGCCTCGAATAAGCGAGCCGATTAATTAGTCTTTTTTTTAGCTCGAAGGTACTAGTCCTAAGCGTATTATTGCCTTAGTATAGGGTTTCTAAGGGTGTCTAGTATAATAGTCTTATAGGTTTTCTACTAAACAGTAGTCTAGTTACTAAGGGAGTCGAAATAATTATCCTAAGTGCGTTTTAGGTCGCTATTAATGTACTATATAGCGTATACGACTAAGGAATAGTTATCTAGTAGCGCTCTTAGTGCGTTACGCTAGTTAAGCTTACAGTCGCGAATATAGTTATTATATTGCTTCCGACTAGAGCTATCGAATATAGTACAATCCTTAAGTTTAGCATCCTTCTTCTATACGGAAGGTCCTGCTACTAGTCCTAGTTTAGCAGTGGTTGTTAGGGCTTCCTATAGGCGGCGAATCTCGAGGAGATTATCCTTTAGCTATTATTCTTAGCGTAAAGTAGCGAGCCTGTTTTAGGTAGCTTCTTAAAGTCTCGCTACTAGCTAGGGGGTAAAGGCTAGTTAGCTATATCGACGGTTAACAATATTGCTAAGAATGTCGCTAACGGGCAACGATAGGTTATCCCCTTTAATTATAGGTTCTTTAGTAGGCCCTCTAGTAGGCACTTTAGTAGGAGGCACTTTAGTAGGCAATGTGCTACTAGCGTTGTTATTGCTAGCGCTGCTAGCGGCGCCGCGGTTGTTATTGCTTCGTAATAAGCCGGCTATTATAAGGGGTAATACTAATAATATATTATAGGCCCCTAAGATACGGATATAGCGGAACTAGTAGGTATCGGCTTAGTACAATTGACTTAGTATAATAGGCCGTATAGAAGGCCTTGCTTAATAATTAGTACGGTTGTTTTTAATAGAATAGTACGTGTAGGTCCCGTTCTTCGGGCGTAATATAGTTAGATTAACGGTTTTCGGGGCTATACCGCTAAAAGCTTAAAATAAGGACTATCTAGCTGCTGCCCTTAAAGGGTAGATCGAATACTATATAAGAAGGGTTATATTAGCAGGTAGATAGGGTAGTAGTAGGTACAAGTAGTATTTAATAAGGATCTAGGAGGAGGGGGAGGAAGGCAGGAGAGTTAGCCTATTACTAAGCGCTAAGCCCTGCCTAAGGCATTAAGACCCTAACTTCACTCGAGCCTAGTTACATACCAATTACGTATAACCTCTTTAGTCCTAACACCGAGTAAATATAAGCTATAGGATTTCCGCTCGGTACCTTAGTCTTCGAGATACGGCGGAGTTAATTCTCTATAATACGTAGCGCTATTATATAGCGACAGATGCGTACTAAGTCCGGCAACTCGAAGAAGAATTAAGATAGCGACCGAGCAGGAGATTAATAGTATATTAGTAGAGTCGAGGTCTTATAAGCGAAGTACGAGATAATATAGGCTCTTAGTCGTATAGAGTAACGTACTATATAAATAACTAGGCGTGCTACTCTTATTTACTTACGACCTATATTCTAGGATACTCTTCTCGTACTTTTTATACTCTTTTCTAATACCTTACCTATAAGCGCTCCGCGACAACTAAGTAAATATAAGCTATAGGGTTTCCGCTCGGTACCTTAGCCTCCGAGATAGGGCAGAGTTAAATTTAGAGCAATAGCCGGCACTCGTAGCCGGCATATAGAGACGGTAGTAGGCCTTTTCCTACTAAATAACTAGCTTGTTTAGTATAGCCTACCTAATATTTCTTATATTTCCTAGTAATAGGCCTAGGTTACTTATAAGATTACTATAGCTAGTAAGGGCATTACTAAAGAATATCTATACTATAGTAGGATACTATTATTACGCCGGCTATTTATTAAAAGAAGGCTTTCGCCTATTACTATACCGGCTATATATACCGGCTATATTTCAAAGTTTGCTATACCTACCTTTTTTAGCCGTACCTGCCTTCTTTCCTTGCTCTAACGTTACTATAATATAGGCTTGCGCGACGCTTACTCTATTGCCTAGCGATATCGCGATACTACCTCTCTCGCTATATTTAACCTTGGTATCGATACCTATATCTCTACGCTCTATATCTACTATCTCCGTAATACCTTCGCTCCCTGCGCGCTTTCGTATACCTTCGTAACGCACTTTTTTCCTAGACCCCGCAGTAGTTCGGGTTAGTTTGTTTTAGTTTACTAAGCCGAAACTCTAGTTTAGTTTGGGTTGGTTTGCTAAGTAACTATATAAGTAGCTAGTTCGAACTATATAATTTATCGGTTTTTAAGAAGTGTACGAATGTATACGTAGCTTTAAGCAAGCCCTTTGTAAGACTTAGCAGTGTAGCCGGTAGCGTAGCCGGCATTTTTAGTCCTTAGTACTTATAGAATTTTCGAATCCTACTTAGGCTACGTAGTTGTATAAAGGTACTTATATAACCTCAAATCTATAGACAATTAGCTAAGGGCACTAACTAATTAAAAGCATATATACATATACAAGGCATTATAGTTTAGTTTAGAAACTGCACTCCTTAGGTATAAATTTCATCCTTTCGTTTACGGTTCAATTCCCTAACTGCTTAGTATTACGGATCTAATTAGTTAGAGTCCTTATATAATCTTAGAGCGACGCTAAGACTAGTAGGCTAAGCTGTCGCTCTATCTTACTAAGAGCGATAGAAGCGGTCGAGAGCGATAGCGTCGCTTACGTCGCTTACAACTACGGACAAGATGTCTCCTTTATATTTAGGAACGCCGGAATGCCCTTATAGCTCGAGGCGTTTAACTTATATTACCTACTTACTAATTAGAATTACCTTTATACTAATTATTCTATCTCTGCCTCCCGCTTATATTAGCCTCTCTAAAGAAGCCTCGGCTTATATATAATAAGAAGTTACCTAGCGATCTGTCGCGAGTAACCGTAATACTTTAAACGCCCTTAGGATAAGTGCCTTATTATAAGTCGGAAGGGGAACTCCCGCCCCTAGCGAGATAGGTAGTACTCGACGTACTACCTCTAGTATTAGCAATGCACTAGGAACCTATACCGGAAACGATTCCCTTAAGATTAGAAAGCTAGACTTTTATTACGGCGACCGAGATAAGTTCGATACCTAGGTTAGCTAGATAGATATATATTTTATATTTAACTAGGTTTAAGACAACTTAAAGCTAGTCTTCGCAACGACGTTTATACGAGGTAGGGCTTAGTATTAGGTTAAACCATTTCTTAGGACCTATCTAGATAGCAACGGGACCGACAATTCGGATAGAATCTTCGTAAGCTACGAACATCTTAAGCGTGCGATAAAGAAGGTGTTTAGATCTTCTAACGAGGTTGCTACCGCAGTTAGGGTTATCTAACACTTAACTTAGAAGGGGTTATATACCGATTACACCGCTAAATTTTAGGAATACGTCTAACTTACGGATTAGGACGACGAAGCTCTTATAATAATATATCGGCGAGGTCTTAAGGATAACGTTAAGGACGAGCTTATACGCGACGGTAGAAAAATAGATAATATAGGAATATTAGTTAAGGTTACGATCGATCTCGACGATAGGCTCTACGAACGAGCTTTAGAACGACGCTACGATTCTAAGACTTCTAGAAAAGCTAGTTATACTCCTAGATACGATAATAGACGAAACTATAGTACCTATAATAAACTAAAGGGGAACAACTACTATAGAGCGTAACTAATAGAGCTAGACGCTACCTAGAAGGGTCGAGTATTTAAAGGAAGAAAAGGCAAGAGTTCGCCTAAGAAAGTAGGAAGATTAACTTGCTATACGTATAGTAAGGAAGGCTATATAGCACGGAACTACCGCGGTAAGAATATAGTGCGACGCGAACAGTTTAATATAATATAACGAAAGGACTCGGGTAGAGAAGGCTACTAAATAATAGTAGAGCTATACTCTATTAATAACGCGCCGAGGACCTACGTAGAGGTCGTAAAGAAAGAGCTACGACAAATCTGTATAATAGTACGACGACGAGAACCTATATATAGAACCCTTTACTAGAGATTCTATTACGACGACTAATGCTAAATCTATTATTCTACTAAAATAGAAGTAGGATTCTTCCCTTAGATTAGGCGACTTGTATGAGAAGATACGAAATCCTAGTTAGAAGAAGAAACGATTAATAAATCTTGCTTAGATACCGACGATAAAGAAAACCGAGATCCGGAAGCTTTATTCCCTCCTAGGGAAGAGTTAGGAGATATCCTAGAAGTACCGGAGTCCCCTTAGTAAGAGGAGGAATAGCAAGAAGATTTAGAAGGAAGTCTAGATACCAAGGAAGAAACTACGAATAAGGAAAGTAAAGACGAATTTAGGATTAACGACGATACGATCCTTACGTTTATAATAGATATACCTATAGTAGCGCGAACGATTGCCTTATATCTAGTACGCAAATACGAGGAAATGTTTCTAAAGGTTAACGGGTAACGGAAGGTCGATCCTATCTAATTTGATTATTTCTAGATAAGCTTACGGGCAAAATTCTAGAATTACCCCCGGATACCTATAGACTATGCGTACTATAACTTTATTACGGAGCGAGTACCGATAGGAAGTATAATTACGCCCTACGGATACGTCCTACCCGACGAGAGGACGATTATTACTTAAGAGATACGTTAGACGGTCTAGCGATTAAATTAGCAATACCGAAAGGCTATAGTAGCGTAAGGACGGGATATATATAACGACACTCTCGAAGAAAAATTATATACCGAAGAAGCACGAACGGTAGGACTACGGATCCGTAACTAGTTAGAATAACGTTAGGCTACTAATCAGTCGGGAAACGGACTAACTCTCTAGATTAGAGCGTTCTAAGAGAGTTCCTTAATACCGAAAGCGCTTAAGTATTAATAGCAGTCTTCCGTATAAAAGTTATCGTTAACGGGTACCCGACGAGTATATTAATAGATTCCGGAGCGAGCGGGAACTTTGCCTCCGAATTATTCGTTAAAAGCCGAGGGATCGTAACCCGAAGTAGAAGAGAAGGAGCGTATAAACTTATAGCAGTAGATAGGTTACCGCTACCTAGTATAGAACGAGAAACGATACTATTACTACTAGCTATCTAATAGCACTACGAGGAAATTGTCTTAGATATTACTAATATAGCTAGTTATAATATCGTATTAGGTATACCTTAGTTAAGAAAGTATAACCTAGTCGTAGACTAGAGAAGAGGGGTACTTACATTTAAGGAATGCGACTATATAATCGGCATTCAACCTATATAGCGGTAGCGTTCGTAGGCAGATAAGATTAATAAACGTAGAGCGACTCGTAAGACGTTTACGTCGATAGGAATTACGGAGAACCGTATTCAACCCGGATCGACACTACCGTTAGGTTAGGAGAGTTATAATAATAATTACGGGAAGGATAGGAGTTATACGCTATCGAAGAATAAAACTAGAATCTCGGACCTAGACATTCCTAAAGAGTATACTAAGTAGAAGCGACTCTTTAAAGAGGAGAGAGGCAAGGCAGCCTTACCTAAACACTAACTATAGGATTATAAGATATACCTATAGCCTAGGAAAGAGCCTCTATAGGGACCCTTATACGTAATGTCTAAGAAAGAGCTCAAAACCCTAGACAAGTAGCTAAAAGAGAAACTAGAAAAAGGCTAGATACGGAAGTCGATATCCTCGGCAGCCTTACTAGTAATGTTCGTTCCGAAAGCCAGATTAGACGAAGGACGGCTAGTAGTCGATTTTAGACGACTTAACGACATTACGATTACAAATCGGTACCCGTTACCGAACATCGAAGAAATGCAAGACCGATTAACTAGATTAGACTAGTATACGAAGATTAACCTACGCGATACGTTTTACGCAATACGTATAGTAGCTAGATACGAATAGATAATAGTATTCCGAATAAGATATAGGCTTTACGAATTCTTAGTTATACCTATAGGACTTATAAATGCCCTAGCGTTATGTTAAGACCTTATAAACGAAGTCCTCCGAGACCTTCTAGATATATACGTTATCGCATATATAGACGATATCTTAGTCTATACTAAGGGAGCTCTCGCGGACTATATACGAATAGTATAGGACGTCTTCGAACGATTTACTTAAGTAGGATTTAAGACTATACCTAAGAAATACGAATTCTATAAGAAGGAAGTTAAGTTCCTAGGATTTATTATTAGCACTATAGGAATTAGGATCGATCTAGAAAAAACCAAGTTAATATAGGAATAGCTAACGCCTATATATATTAAAGACGTACAATTATTCCTAGGATTAGCTAACTATAATAGGAAATTCATCGAGGGCTACTCTAAGATAGCGGCACCCCTTACGGAGCTTATAAAGAAAGACAAGAAATAGAACTAGAGCACGAAGGAAGATATAGCGTTTAGGCAACTAAAGGAGCAATACGCTTCTACACTAACGCTACGATTATTCGATAGGAATAAGGCGGTCTAGATAGAAACAGACGCGTTAGATAGGGCTATAGGAGCATACCTTACGTAAGAGTATAACGGGAAACAATACCCGGTAGCCTATTACTCGAGAAAGATGTTACCCGCGGAATAGAACTACGATATCTATAATAAGGAGCTACTTACAATAGTTGTATTACTATAGCACTAGCGAGTATACGCGGAAGGAGCACTAAGTCTTACGATTCTTTCTAATTATAAGAATCTGACTTACTTTACTACGACTAAAGTACTAACCCGAAGACAGGCCCGCTAGTCGGAGCTACTAGGATAGTACAAGTTCGAAATCCGCTATACCCTAGGACGCGAGAACGGACGAGCCGACGCACTAAGCCGCCGTAGCGACTATATAGAAGGTTACGAACTAGTGTAGCAACAGATATTAAAGGCAAACTAAGACGGAAGCCTTAGTACTAACACAAAGGAATTTAACTATATTATGCGAATTCTTTAGGATATAGAAGAACAGTTCCTAATCGAGCATAGGAAATACTAAGTACCTAAGGAACGAGTTATAGAGTATATACGACAATACTACGACGGACTAGAAAATAGACACCCTAGAGTTTCAAAAACAATAGAGCTAGTTAAGCGAAGCTTCGGATTCCTACGTATACAATAACGAGTTCTAGATTATATTAAGAAATGTCTACAATGTTAGCGTAACAAGGCTAATAGATACGCTAAATATAGACATATCTAATTTACGACGCTACTAGATAAACTATAGGACGAAGTTATAATAGACTTTATTACGAAACTACTAAAATCTAAGGATCTAGTTATAGGATATAGCTACGACATAATACTTGTTATAGTCGATAGGCTTACGAAATATATATACTTCATTCCTACTAACGAAGCAAGTACAGCAGAGCAACTCGGATACCTTATACTAGATAGACTTATACGATACTACGGATTCCTAAGGACCTACATTACGGATAGAGACAAGCTCTTTACGTTAAACTACTAGAAGACGCTTACAGCGACACTTAGAATTAAGTATAAGCTATTAACGGCATACTATCTATAGATAGACGGCTAAACGGAAATCAAGAATTAGGCCTTAGAGGTATACTTACGATACTACGTTAACTACGTACAAACCAATTAGGCATCGCTATTGCCTATAGTACAACTTGTACTAAACAATTAGCAATCTAAGACTACGAAAGAAACACTATTCTTCGCTAATTTTAGGAAACATCCGTAGCTATTCGGGGAACAGTATTTAAAGCATCTATATACGGATAAAGCGATAGTCGCTTCGGAAGACTTAAAGCAGGTATATAAAGAATTATAGAAGGCAATTGCCGAGTCTTAAGAAAAGATTACGGGAACGTATAATGCTAAACGAAAAATAGCACCTTAGCTAAAAAAGGGGGATAAGGTCTACCTCCTAATAAAGAATCTAAGAACCCGGAGATCGACTAAGAAACTAGACTACGTTAAAGTCGGGCCATTTTTGATTAATAAGCCTAAAGGACTAGTTAATTACCGACTTAAACTACCGGACGACGCAAAAATCTATCTAGTGTTCTATATCTCTATACTAGAACCTATAGACGCCGAAACACCGTACTAAGAAACATTTCACTTCTAACCTAAGGAAGAAAACGAGTTTAAAGTCGAGAAGATCCTAGACTAGCAAGGTTAGAAATACCTTATTAAATAGAAAGGATACCTACATTTAGAAAACACTTAGGAACTAAAAGGAAACCTATAGAACTGTTAGCAGATAATCAAAAAATACTAAAACTAGACAAAAAGGAAATAACTAGTATAGGAATTAAACCTACGACCTCTTAGACCCTATCGATTATAGCGCCTTAGAGTTCTTAACGACCTAGGGTAGTATAGCTCGAGGAGCGGGGACTCTAATAGCGTACCTAGCAACTATGTCTTTTATAGCTAAGAATTATACTACTAGACTAACTAGCTAGAAGATAAAATAGATAGGAAACACTAGAAATATATACCTTTAGGATACTAGATTCTCGGCGCTCCTACTAGGAATTTTAGAGATAGGCTAGGATGTCCTATCTAGACGACTCTAGTTATAAGGCGACATCTATAATCGGCTATCTAAGGGAAACGGCTCGTTAGTAGGCAACGAGAATAATATCGGCTCTATAGGCGAAGAGCCTAACTCTCTTTCGAGCTCCTCCGCCTATTAAATAGAGGCTTCCTCTACCTTAAGAGCCTATACCTCCCGATCTTCTTTTATACGTAGCGACTTACGTAAGCGGCGGACCTTTGCGCGATACTCGAAAAGCTTCCGCGTAAGGAGGTCCTCCTCCTCTTCGGCCGCCTTAAGATCTTTAGCTATCTTTAGGCGCGCCTTCCGGATTTTTTTATACTCTATACGAGTAACTTATATATTGTAGGACTAGCCGTATAGGGCGCACTCGGAGTAGCGACTAGAACGAAGATCGACCTTATAGGATTTACCGGCCTATTCGTAATAAAAGTAGCGGATCGGTATTTCGAGACAGTCGGCGAGGATATTATTCGCGATATTTTCCTTACGCTAGCGAGAAGACAAGTCCTTCGATAACTTTAGTATAACAAAGAAGTTAGAATTAGAAAGTTCCGGAATAAGGGACTATTCCGCTTAAGGAGGGGGATAGTATTACGGATCTAATTAGTTAGAGTCCTTATATAATCTTAGAGCGACGCTAAGACTAGTAGGCTAAGCTATCGCTCTATCTTACTAAGAGCGATAGGAGCGGTCGAGAGCGACAGCGTCGCTTACGTCGCTTACGACTACGGACAAGATGTCTCCTTTATATTTAGGAACGCCGGAATACCCTTATAGCTCGAGGCGTTTAACTTATATTACCTACTTACTAATTAGAATTACCTTTATACTAATTATTCTATCTCTACCTCCCGCTTATATTAGCGTCTCTAAAGAAGCCTCGGCTTATACGTAATAAGAAGTCACCTAACGATCTGTCGCGAGTAACCGTAACACTTAGCAGAATGTCTTTATCTAGATCTAGGTAGAACTTATCGATTTCCGTCGAAGCTCTCCTTAAGAAGTTCTAGCACTTTCCTACTAAACTATACTCTAATATTTAGGATAGCTCCTCCCTCGATATCGGCACTATATACGAAACAGCTATAAGGTAGCTCTATAGGGCGTTCTACTAGTTACTCGCTATACTACGGCCGAATACTAGTTCGTTCCTTAGAACTCTAGGTTATTTAGTAGATATTAAGGATAGGGCAGGCAGTAACTTCGTATTATATAAGGAAGTAGAGGCTGCTATAGAGGAGTCCTTTAACCTATAGAAGATAGTAAAAGATATAGAGGCAGCTATAGGTCTAGGTACCTAGTTGAATTTCTAGTAGGTAGAGTATAAGGATATTTAGTAGGAGTATTAGGTAGAGTTGCGAAAGCAGGTATATAATATAGTCTAGAGAATAGGGATAATACCTATAACTATAAGTATTAGGTTCTTTAATGTTCCTCCTTTTTTCCTTGTTTTCTTTTTATAAAAATCCAAACTAATACAAATTAACTAGAATATCTATCTTCTTTTAGTTCTTTATAAGACCTAGTAGCGTAGCCGGTAGCGTAGCTAGCAGCGTAGTCGGCCTTTTTACTCCTAAGCACTAACGGGTTTTTCGAAGACTTCTATTCTATACGGCTAATAAAGTATACTATACTATATAGGTATGCTTAGAGAGTATTTAGAGCGCGGTATATAGCGCCGTATAATAGCGGCTTATTTCGTATATAGAAAAGCTTATAGACGATACTACAAATATCCTTCCTACTAGTATATCTATCCTATCTAGCACTATCTCGAATATAGATATTCTAGCCTTTTAGAATCTAATCGAGTGCTTTGAAATCCTTGTCTATAATCGTTATACGCTTCGCGTAGATACCTATAAGGTTAACCGCTAAAATAGTATTAGTATAGTCCGAAAAGAGGTAGAAGAGAAATATATATTCGAAGATACGAACTAGGTAGGCTTCTATAGCCTCTTAAAGGGCGCCTATCGCGGAGGCTTAGAAGCGAAGGTCCGTTCTATAATCCTAGGCAATTTCGCGAATAAGTCGTTAGAAAGGAGCTTTACGGATTAGGAGCTTAGAACTCTTCTAATACTACCGAATCTTACGGAGGGCTACGGCTAAAGAAGGATTAGTAAAAAGACAGTAAGAATACCGGCTACGCTACCGGCTACGCTGCCGGCTACGCTGCCGGCTATAAATAGGACTTACTTCCTAGGCGCTATCGACGCTTCGTACGATTGCTACTAGTAGTAGAAGCGCTAGTTGTCGTCTTATATAGAGCCTTGCCCGCCGTTATCTTGCGCGGAGCCTTGCTCGCGACGCCCTTTCTAGTACCGGAGCTAGCGGTAGTAGTAGCAGCCCTCTTACGTTAATATACTATACTCGTTCTATTATTTCCGATCTTATTGCGACCTATAGAAGTAGTAGGTCCCTTCTTGCGAGGCGTCGTAACTTAGTTAAGTAGACTCGCTATTATAAAAGTCGTCGAATTAAGGAAAAAAGTGCGTTACGAAGGTATACGAAGGCGCGCGCGGAGCGAGGGTATTACGGAGGTAGTAGATATAGAGCGTAGAGGTATAGATATTAATACGAAGGTTAAATATAGCGAGAGAGGTAGTATCGCGGTATCGCTAGGCAATAGAGTAAGCTTCGCGTAAGCCTATATTATAGTAACGTTAGAGTAAGGAAAGAAGGCAGGTACGGCTAAAAAAGGTAGGTACGGCTAAAAAAGGTAGGTACGGCAGACTTTGAAATATAGCCGGTATATATAGCCGGTATAGTAATAGGCGAAAGCCTCCTTTTAATAAATAGCCGGCGTAATAATAGTATCCTACTATAGTATCGATATTCTTTAGTAATGCCTTTACTAGCTATAGTAATCTTGTAAGTAACCTAGGCCTATTGCTAGTAAATATAAGAAATATTAGGTAGGCTATACTAAACAAGCTAGTTATTTAGTAAGAAAAGGTCTACTACCGTCTCTATATACCGGCTACGAGTGCCGGCTATCGCTCTAAATTTAACTCCGCCCTATCTCGGAGGCTAAGGTACCGAGCGGAAACCCTATAGCTTATATTTACTCGGTTGTCGCGGAGCGCTTATAGGTAAGGTATTAGAAAAGAGTATAAAAAGTACGAGAAGAGTATCCTAGGATATAGGTCGTAAGTAAATAAGAGTAGTACGCCTAGTTATTTATATAGTACGTTACTCTATACGACTAAGAGCCTATATTCTCTTATACTTCGCTTATAAGACCTCGACTCTACTAGTATACTATCGATCTCCTCCTCGGTCGCTAATACGCTGTCTTAATTCTTCTTCGAGTTACCGGACTTAGTACGCATCTATAGCTATATAATAGCGCTACGTATTATAGAGAATCAACTCCGCCGTATCTCGAAGGCTAAGGTACCGAGCGGAAATCCTATAGCTTATATTTACTCGGTTGTCGCGGAGCGCTTATAGGTAAGGTATTAGAAAAGAGTATAAAAAGTACGAGAAGAGCATCCTAGGATATAGGTCGTAAGTAAATAAGAGTAGTACGCCTAGTTATTTATATAGTACGTTACTCTATACGACTAAGAGCCTATATTATCTTATACTTCGCTTATAAGACCTCGACTCTACTAGTATACTATCGATCTCCTCCTCGGTCGCTAATACGCTATCTTAATTCTTCTTCGAGTTGCCGGACTTAGTACGTATCTATAGCTATATAATAGCGCTATATATTATAGAGAATTTCTCGTTAAAGTTTCTCTCTCGTAGGCTTGCTATCTACCTCGTAGTATAGAGGATTAAAGTACTAATACTAAAG